GTTCGTCACATTCTTTTACTCTCTCTCTCTCTCTCTCTCTCTATATTGCACACTCTCCTCCTTTTCTCAAAACAGATCTTCCAGATTACGAACAATTTTTCTCAATTCGAACATTAGGCTGAATCGAACAGATATATATATTAATTTGGGATTTAATTGTTACTTTTCATTTCGAGCAGCAACCTAATAAATTCCGTATTCAATTAATTACAAAGATTCTAAATCATGGCGATCGATCGAGAGATACGATTACTAATTAAAAGAATCGATAAAACATGCACCGAAATTGAGAAAGAGAGAGAGAGAAAGAGAGAGAGAAATCGTCTCCACCTCGAGAAAAGATATCATCCTCCTTCTGTCCATCTCTCGATCCTTCCGCCTCGAACGGAGCGCGTTCTTTTTCGAAGCTTCTCCTCCTCTGATCGTGTGTTGCGGTTGGTCCAATCCCTCAGGTTCGCTGAACTTCATGCCACGGACCCTAAGGCGAATAAGGGACGAGGGGGCCGAGCTAAGACACGCATACGTGACCACTCCTATGTGTTGCCCAAGCAGGAGCTCGTTGCTGACCGGCCGTTACGTTCACAATCACGAGGTCTTTACGAACAACGACAACTGCAGCAGCCCCCAGTGGCAACGAGATCACGAGCCGCACTCGTTCGCCGCTTACCTGAGCAACGCGGGATATCGTACCGGTGAGTGCTCACGATGAACCCGTTTTTTTTCACCCCTCTCGATGACAGAAACCCCTCACTCCGACAACCCAGACATCTGGGAGGGAAAAAAAAAAAAGAAAAGAAAAGAGTCACGCGACCAAAGTTCGACCGCGTATACTCGTTCCTTTGGAAACGAAGAATCTCTCTTGCTCGATATCGACGATCTCTTCCACGTGCGCTTATTCGTGGATAATTCGACTCGATTCGTGGGTAGAAGCTCTATTTTATCGACTTAAATAATCGAACGTTTCCATTATTCGATTGCGTCTTTGCGCAATCTTTGTTTTTCTTATTCGTGTCGTGTCAGCGAAGAGATAGAATTCAATCGGAAATTAATGTTGGATACACGAGTAAAAGAAATATTTAAACTCGATTTAACATTTGGAGAGATCCAAATTGCTGGTTAAAAATATAGCGCTGCAAAACTTTCTTTATCTCTCTTTCCTCGAGGTCTCGTTTCCGTCCACGAACTTTATCGAGATATATCTTGAATCGCTAGCGTAACACGCAATATGGTTGGTCGCGAGTTGGTTGACCCGTCAGATACCTCGAGGAACCATAGAGAATCTTGCTACTTTCAATTGAAACGCAACTTATACGCTAACTCGTCTCGCTCGTAATTGGAGTCAAGTACGTTCGACGCGATAAATCCTCGTTGCATAAGCAATTACCGCGAGCAATTACCGCAACACGACGACTGTAACCGCGATTTTTTCAATTGGCGCCAATATAATAAGGTCGGGAGCCTTCTTTTGTAAACGCGTGAAAACGTTGCGTTACGACGAATAAAATGGCGATTGTAAAAAAAATTCCGAAAGAGACATTCGCACATTCTGTCTCGTCGCGTTTCGTTCACCTTCCCTTTCCTCCGCAACAGGAATATAATTACATCGGCGACCGATCGACCCATCCGCTCAGGGTTCCTCAAGTCTCCTCGGGGATAAGCGAATATGGCAATGGATTCCCGACGGTACGATTTCGATCCTCGAGAGTCGTTGTCGGCCCGCAATTGTCCGGCTCTTCCCCTTCTATCCACCATATCCAGAGGCGAATCTTGGCCCGCTGCTGAGAGAGAGGGAAGGGACGAAATGTGGTCAGAGAGGGAAGCTCGACGGCACAGCCAAAAACGGTTGCAACACGTTGGGTCGAGCAATCGTTGGTCTCGATCGATCATCAGGGAGAACAATAATTTCGGGAACCGGGTTTGAATGCGGATGAATCGCGAACGGTGCATCGATTGTTCGCATTGTTCGCTGGTTACAGGGCATGTGCGTGGCCCTCGTCGTGCATCCCCCGATCGAGGAGACTGGATACAATTTGCCAACAAGTATCGAGGAGAGGGATATTGGGCGGGCTAGCAGAGCCTTCTCTCGTCTGGGATTCTTTTTTTTTTTTCTTTGAAAGGACGGCCGATGATGATCGGGAACGAGCGATTAGAGGATGAATCCGAACGCATCCTCGACGTTAACCGAGCCAATCTCGTGGCAGAAATGGATCAAGGATGGAAGGAATACTATCGACACCTACGGTCTTTTTTTTTTCGATGAATTTCACCGAAGGCGGTCGGGGAATTATCCGGCTCGAATCGGCTGGTAAGGTTTCGGGGGAGCGTGGAGGCTTCTCATCAGCTGCAGCTGTTTACAGACACCTTTTTGCGGGGCTGAAAGCGATCCCGCCGCGCTTTTCGAATGTCTCGAGATGAATCGATTTCGCGGGCCGGGGAATGCGAACCTCTGATCGTTTCTACGGCGTTTGTTGGCGCGATATCCCCTACGAATGGAATGCTGTTCGATTCGTCGATAGAATTTGGAGAATCCTGATCGAGCGGAGTAGCGAGATCCCGCCTCGGGATAATAATTCTCGCTCGCGTGAAAACGCGAGTGTTGGAGATAATTCATCCTCGAGACGAGATAAAACTCGAGTTTTTTTTTTCTTTTTTGAGGAAAGTGTTTCGTGAAAGAACGAGGAAGAACGCTCGTAATTTCCAAATTACGGTAAAAAGGACTTGTTTTCGAGCCTAACCGATCAAAAGTTTTATCTTTCTAGCCTACTTTACTCCGACACTTATCTCGGACGACTTACCTTCCAATTACGGTCGGGATCACTTTACGCCAGTTTGCCTTTCGCGGATTCATTATAAGAAATTACAACCGACGGTTACTCGTTTTATAGACTTAATGCACGATTTAATAAGCAATTTAAGTAGCGAGCAGGGAAGGCTCGCGATAAGGAACAGCGGGCTGGTGGAAGCAATCACCGCGTCGCGGTATACCTGTTCCACGCGTTTATTCGTTTCGTTCGTGTTTCATTCGTGAAACACACCGCCGCCACGGTTCCTCCCCGCCATGCCTATTTCCAGAGACATGCAAATTACCTGAAACAGACGTTGCTCGGAGTCGAAAGTACGCGCGTATACCTCTCTCGTACCGCACACCTTTCTAAAAATATCTTCCTTCGAAAGAGTTAAAAAGTTGAGTCGCATCCCGATAACTCGAACGAAGGTGAAACATCGAATTCCATTTCGTACGAGGAAGAAAGAGTATGGGGAAGAGCGGTTAATGGAAAACAGGTAACCAACGACCAAGAATTCTTTCAAAGATCCGCAACGAAACACAACACAGGATCTTGTAAATTGGACCAGACGCGTGCATAGATTTCGCAAGATATTATTCCAGACTCGCATTCGAATTCTCTCCACGAATCTCGTCTTCGTGGTCGTCGATCACCGAGGAGAAACGCAAAACGTAAGAAAAGGGATCGCGAGAGGAGAAACAAGGCGAGGAGGAGAGGCAAAAATCTTCTCACGATCGTGACAGTTCGACCCTTCGACGGTTGGTAGACAAGCTTCTGTTGGAGGAATCCTTCGAGTTTCTACCTCGCGCTTCTTCTTCTTCTTCTTCTTCCCTTTCGATGAAAACAGCGACCGACACGGTCACTCTCCTCTCCGCCCGTGTATTTTCCTCCTGTTCCTTGCGCCTACCTTCCTCCCTCTCTCTCTCTCTCTCTCTCCACGTACGACCATA